CAGAGAAAACCAGTGGCACCATTGTGTTCCTCGCGAACTTTTATACAAGAATCAACAGTCAAATTGCAAATTCCTCGCACATGTAACATCTCCATTGGGCCAAAATGCACCGATATCAATACCTCATATGTTACTTGGTTCCTCGAAAATTCTCCTCTTGGACTTAGCCTAAAAGTGTGGACACTTTTTAGCCTCCGGCGAAACCTAGAGTCTATACGGCTTCGCCGCACGACTAAAAAAAAAGGAAATGATTTTTCAAACCTGGATAGTATATTTGCACTCAGCAAGTGTGTTCCACAGCTTGATGGTTTTGTCTCGGCTTCCAGATACAATCTGTCGGTTATCAGCAGAGAAAGCTACACTCAACACATCCTGAAAGAAGACACAAACTTGGTAAAGCAAAAGATCATCAAGATGCAAAAAAAAAAAAAAAAAATTCATGAGTGAATAATCCTGAGTGAAATAAAGATGGATGAAGTAATATTCTTTAAGTGCAAGTTGGAAGGAGGGGCTTTTTATATTGCCTCAGTTCTTAAATTTAGATCCCAAAAATGTGAATTCAAAAATCAAAATTTTCTAATTAGTTTATGAAGTCCATATTTCTGTTTGATTTAGGATGAATGATTCAAGTCCGGGCAAGAATTAAGAAGGAACAGCAACACTGAGAAATACTAAACTAGTTCAGAATGCACTGAGCCAATACTAGTATTAAGGAACTATTCAATAAATTAGTGAACTATAAATTTTTTGAGTAGGGGGTGGGGGGCAGGGGTCAGCAGGGTTTCTAATCAAGTTAGGGGGCTTGAACAGACACCCCAACAAGATTAACTCTCAATGCTGTCAGAAATTTCATTAACTCATTTGGCAAAAACTTTGAAAATTTCTTTAGTGGTTCAGCCCTCCCTTTCTTTCCACTTTTGCCCACGGTGCTGTTACTTATACAATCAGATGCAAGCAAGACCAAACCACACAGGTCTGCCATTGATATTTTAAGACCCTACTGCACACTGACATCGGAAAGTTGGAGTGTAATACATTTCTTAAATGATCATTTAGGACAGGGGCAATTCTGCTTCTGACAGGATACAGTCTGACAGGGGAGTGGTCTCAAAAGGAGGCTCAGTGATTGTTCTACATAAATAGATCTTGAGTGCAAGGAGAAATTGATAGATGAGCAGCATTGGTCATTGAGAATACAGAGAATGGGAATAAACAGACATATTAGATTTGATTGAGAATGATAAATGAAAAAAATAGAGAAAAAAAGGAGAATACATGGAAAAACACTTTGACTTCTCGAATGCCCTGTGAAAAAAGTCCTAGATCCCGGCAGAAGAGAACGTTACATCTCCACCTCACAGAGGGCTCTAAAATCATGTGATCACAAAATAAAACTAGGTCGAATGTAGCTCCTACAGCAAACACAAATAATGTACCTTTGTGTGTCCTTCGAACCTCCTTGTTGACTGTCCAACATTCAAATCCCACAGACGCAGGGTCTTATCCCATGAGCCAGAGAGTGCATAGTTTCCGTCAGAAGATAGTACAACATCACTGATGAAGTGAGAGTGTCCATGTAAACGTTTCTTGGGGATACCAAAGTTACTTTCATCCCTCGTCAATTCCCAGACAATCAAAGTCTTATCTGGAAAAAAATTTCATAAATGGATGAAAAAAACAATAGCAAAAACAGAAAATTCTAAAATTTTTTAGGCTGAAAGAGCAAAGGTTACAAAAAGCTTTCAGGTTTCACTCTTCTTAGAAGACCGACTGAATTTGAGGAGGGCTTGCAGCTTTCTGCATTGCTATCTCTAATATAAATCATATTTCATAACAACATTCAATCAGAGCTCACTCAGGAAAAAACTGTGGTACAGATTAATACAAAGCAACAATTCTATGATTGAAGATCAATGGTCCATACAAGAATATCTGGCAAAATTTAGTGCTCGCTCAACGTATGCTGAGGCACATGTCTCCCTCTTCCTAGCCCTGAAGCAGTATCTCCCAATTCCCAAAAAGTTAATACATTTGCTGAATTTAGATGGCACCACTGATAATCGTTGATGTAAACAAGATTTGATTTAAATATCGACTCGTGATAAACAAGCTTTGGTTTTGAGGGCTGAAATTGCTGTAAATGTGCTGACACATAGGTGTCAAATACTATTGACAGATTGAGAATTTGGAATCAGTTGAAGCTACATTTCAGTTGAAAAACCTCAGAAGGAGGGTAGTTGCTGCTTGAGGGGTGGTGATTAGTGTTACTGGTTGGGTAAAAACTAATTGCACCTGTTGATGCTGATTGGGGGCTGGTCAAAGTATGGTAACTCCCTGGGTGCCTTGGTTTCGCTTGGACTGGCTGACTCTTCCATGATAATAGAATGAGTTTGGAAGGTAATTTCGTAGATTAAGATATAAGACAAATGAAGTAGGTGATGTATGCTAATCTTTACGCCTTAAGTGGCAGTTGCGCTTCCGAAGGTTTGGGTCTATGCGAATAGGAGGGAAGGCGAGACATAGACTTCTTCAATTCTTCAGAGGGCCTGGGTCTATCTGTACTATTTCCAAACCTAAAAGGAGGACAGATACTTAGGAAGAGCTTGAAAACCAGGATATTGGACAGACTGTGCAGGCTGATCACAATAAGGTTAGGTTGTCAACCACACCTGAGACGCAGTCTGCTCGGAGAGAAATGTAAGAACGAGACATGTGTTAAAGTAATTTCAGGTGAGGAATAGAAACGAATAGGGCGATATACTTGAGAGAAGTTCTGAATCTATTGGGTATGGACTTTGGAAAGTTCAAAAGCATGGTTCAATCGCTTACCTCTGGAGCATGAAAGAATCTTGTCTGGATGTTTGGGATCAGTGACAATTTGGGTGACCCAGCCATTGTGTCCTCTGAGAGTACCTCGAAGCTGTAAAGAATCCTTCGTGTTCATGCTGAAAACACAACTACCTGCTCTATTTTAGCTGAAATCCGGCTCACGGAGGCACGTTTTCCACTCTTTGCCACCACGTTGATCAAGAAAGGTGGATAGGCGCATAACAATGGGCGCCGCTGTGGCGGGGAAAGGGGGGCTCGCACCGGTGGCAACAAACAGGTTATTGGTGCAGAGGTAGGACGCTTTTCCCGTGCTACTTTCAAAATTACGGCGGGAAAAAGAAGACCGTCCATACTAAAGTTGCTCGTAAATAATTAAAAATCAAAATTTGACGAGTCACGACTTAGTTTATTGTTTTTCTAAATTAATGTCCTATCGACACTATAAATGTGCTGTCCTATTAATGTGCTCTACTTGGACTGAACCTGAACCCCTGTATTATCATGACAATCTTTTTATTTTTTTATTTTTATTCATTGATAAAACTTTATTTGAAAGTTTTACTTCTTTGAACCATTTTTAAAAGAAGAGGATTCGCCTTAACTAACTGAATACTCCCTAAGAAATTTCTCAAGACCAGGTACCTACGATTGGCTCTTGAAACTCAAACCCCAACTTCTAGGTTGCAGATTTAACAGAGTCTCGTTGTTAAGAATCATGAGATAGATTAACTGAGATAGTTCCTAGTTAATTTTATCATTAATTTTCCATGTCTCAAATCTCTTATAAAATTCAGGAGCCCTTGATCTCCTTTAAAGTTCTGAGGTAAAATTTATATTGAGTCCACCTCATTGAATTGTTGCCAAATTGGCATTTAATGTAGCATATTAGTTCCGTCAAGGGTCCGATCGAATCTTGAGACCACATGTTTGCCTAGAGTTTTGACCTATCTCATGAGTTACAAGGAACATAATTTAGACTGCAATCAGACCCCCACATTTATATCTGGGAAAAAATGAGATACTTCAGACGTGAAATGACATTTTTTATCTTATGAATCAATTATTTCAGAGATTGTGACTTTGCAAAAATACTAATTTTGAATAGGTTTAATTTTAGAATTATGACTGTATCACAAATTTTGAAAGGGAATAAATACTTCCCTTTACAATTGAATCCCACCTTGTACAATCTGCTGGTTTCAATTTCTCAAACTTTTTACTAGTTTGTTTATTACAGTTAATTGGTCAAGCATTGAGTTTTCTTTAGTTAAGTTAATAATACCTTGCAAAGAGTTGATGCAATCATGAGGGTGGTGGACTTGTTTTAGAGTAATCCTAAAATAAGTCCTCACATCACTTTCATATTCGTAGCTAACTTGGAAAAGTATTATCGACTGAAAAAATTCACGACTGAAAAATGAACAGTGGCCGTTTTGGCATGCACAATAAAATTAAAGTAATTGCTGTGCATGATTAATGCTGCAAGGATAGGAGTATACCAAAATAATCATAATGAGACTAATTAAAACAATTTTTTAAAAACGTGATGATACTCATTCTTTGTCAAGGTAGCAACATAAAAATATTGATGTTGAACTTATATAATTGATCATTGAAACATTCATGATTACTTACTCCTTGCAACATAGCCATTGTCAAGCTTAAACCATAAGAATAAGGAATACATCAAATTTTAAAATAATAAAAAGTATATTTATTGTGTTTTTAAATATGTACATTTCACTATTCTACTGAACATGTTAATGATACGGAAATGATATATGTGGATATTGTTTTATGGGGTATTACTTTTGGAGGAAAAAAAATCTGAACGTTACAACTTATCACTTGCACTTTTTTGACAAATTAAAAAATGGACCGTAAAAATTTAGTTATATTACAGTGCCTAGGCTCATCGAAGAAACAGTTTAGTTCTCAACACATCAAAAACATTTTCTCCTTTTGTAAGTTTGCAAATACGGTCCATCAATTCAAAAAAATTGTTCACACCTAGCACTTACACCTGAGCAGTCAAGTACCAGGTCTTGGACATAAAAGCTATCTGAGCGGACATCTAAGTCAACCATGCCGAATGTTGGCACATTCTCAATTCTTGTGAAAGTTTGCAGCTTTGTGACTGAGCACAAAAAGTACAAATGGAGAGCCTCTATTTGCTTTGAAGACAAAAATATACGTCACATGAAGGGACAGAAAAATGTTGACAAAAAGTGGACCTCCAGGTTACCTGGTCTCTCACCCTTCCCAAAACATATCATCAAGTTATCCAGGGTGCTAAATTACAAACATATCCAATTTTCACAGTTTGGAATCATATACAACACACATGAGCCTAGAAAGCTGAGGGAACAATTCAATGGAAACTTAAAAAAATTGCTATTCTTATTTTTTTATGTTTACAAATCATTAGTGCGTATGAAATAAGATTGAGAACAAAAGCTGACTTATTAAGATTTTTCAAAGTACATGCAAAGTCTCAGGAGGAAAAAAAAGGTTTGTTTCAGTTGACTTGAGTTCAATAAATAATTAGTGAACTTAGTAAGCACCATAAAATTTAGATTTATATTGCGTAATGGGTCTTAAATTTAACTGCTTCAGTATGAAGAGAGAGAAAGGCAGAGTGAGGCATAAGCAGAGAAATACCTAATTAACATACTCGTTCAATATACCAATTCCAACTCATAGTAGAAGAATTTTTAATTATTTATTGAACAAACAAGCATTCTTCCTCTATGTTCCATTGCTTTTCAAGATTAAGTAGGTAGATTGAGCATTAGAGGAAATTTCAAGCAAGCACGGGCAAAATAGCCAGCGATAAATTAAATCATCGACTCAACATTTTGAAAACTCTCTATAAAAATAGTTCATTTTTCTGAATTTAAAAATAATGTCACAGACTTTTGCCTTTCTTCGTGCGTTTGGTATTTATCACCTGTGCGTTGTTACAAATTCAAAAACATGATTCAACACACGGAAATCAACAAAACGAGAAATGAAATCAATATGTATACAGAAGATGATGGAAGTGTAATGATCGTACAGTAACAGGTTTTAGCATAAACCTGAACCTGAACCGAAAATGGATATCAACGAACATCACACTGTGAAATTCACTACCAATCCAACATTGGAAACATTATAACAGCAATCCATCAGAAATTAGTAATGTGCCTACAAATAATATTTTTAGCTTGATACTGAGCTCATTGACGTTAGACTTGGAAGTTGTGAAATAATGATGGTGAAACGAGAGGGACATACATCTCAACTTACAATGTTGTACATTTCCTATTGTATAAGTTTCATTTTCACAAGAGATCATTGGTTCATTAAAGCATTTTTGACGATGTTCTTGTCATTCAAAGAATAGGTATCTTTAGAGAATTTCACACAAACAGTATGGTTGGTTTTCCATAGTTAATACATAGCAGGGATAAAAATGTTGAAACGCCACAAACAAAGCATGCCTCTTCCCGGTTTTCCACTGATAAAAAGATGGATTGTAAGTAGGTATTGGTAAGTATCAAACCCGAGCACATTTTCCTTGAGGTACATGATTTTTACCTCATTTCTAAGAGCTTATAGTCAGTTGAAAAAGCGGACCAAAAGTAAAAGCTGGCACAAACTAATTGATCTTCTCATTTTGGAAAACATCAAAATGTTTAACACTTATCTTTTGTTATAGAACCAATAGAATACTTCATCATCAAATGTTTAATAGGGCTTTATTTAAAACTCTTGAATGTATCAATTTATTTTTTCAGAAAAGGGAAGATTTGGGTTTGGTTTTAAACTGAAAATAAAAATTAAAACTTTAATGGAAACAAGGGGAACTCAAAATTTTCCAACTTTTTTCAGGTGAAGGTTATGATGAGAACAAAGTATAGGAAAGTCCTGGTTTGGTCAGTCTCTATCCATGAGAATTCAAGACAAATTTTTAGTTCTTCATTTTTCTGATACTGACCAATGATCCTTCTCAATTTTTCATCAACGCTATATATTCCTCGAACTACATTTGAGTGATAGAAAGATAATAATGTTAAATTTTATTGAACTCAATTCAAAATCTTCTGTACTTTTTGAATCCAGTCAAACAAGTTACACATTTTAGAATGCATGAAAATCAAGACATTTGTTTCCTCCGTTCAAAAAAAAAAAAGAAAAGAAAAGAAAATCATTCTCCTCACATCTAATAAGAAGAAAGTTAGCAATCACACTTTTCAAAACAATTTTAAAGCACTTGAAATTTATACAAAATTAAAGGCAGATTTTTTCTTCATTTTTCTTTTTCTTTGAATAATACGAAGCATAAGTCATGAATATAATCAAGAAGCAGCTCAAAATCTCTAAAAATTAAGGCATGAAATATGTGAAAAAAGGCTACCTTTATTTCACACTTCATTTTAGAGAACTTTTTAACAATGCATAGTGATAAGATCACAAGAACTTAACTCTAATGGGGGACAGTCTTAATATCTTATCAATTTTTTTTTTAAAAAAAAAAAAAATAAATAAATAATAAAAAAAATTGAGAAAGAAAAGAAAGAAAAAGAAATTCAGCACCCATCATTGATCTTGATTTTTGACAATTGCAGGGACTACCAACTACATGCGAAGACTATAAGAGCAGGCCTATCCACATCTGTATGACTCAAAAGAGTGCAATGCGAAGAAAGAAGTATTAAGATAAGAAGGCTGAAGTGGTACTAATTATTTTACAGCTCACTTCAAAATATGATGAAATTAAGATAGCTAAAAAAATTAAAATTAAACTTCATGAGAGGAATAATTTAAAATACAAGAGCAATCAAAATTCGAGCTAATGATTGGCAGTTTGGAATTAGGCATGAAGAAAAAAATAAAATCATGAAGACACAGGAGACTTCGCAGTTTGGAACTGAAAAAGATAGATAAGGAATATACTAATATACAGTGATAATTGGGGGAAATTCTCAAGGGAACTAGGGAAATTTCATTCTCAGTTCAAGTAGAGGGATTGGTGAATACAAAAGAGAAAGGACAAAGTAATTGCGAGAATACTTAAAGTTACTAGATTGCAGCCAATAAGAATATGCAATGTGCTATTCCATCTTTTTTGGCACACAGATAATTGAGTTATCGACTCAATGGTAGAAAAAATGCAGTTTCATCCACAGCAATTTCAATTTCATCATTTCTTAGAACTTAATAGAGAAATATCGAATTAAACTGCCAAAAATTTAAAAAATTTCCATTGCATTGAAAAACATTTTTTCATTTTTAAAAGTACCAATGATTCCCATTATAAACCACTGCAGCATTTAACAGTACATAAATCTCTTTTAGAAATTTCTTTTGGAATCCTCTGAAAACTGTTAATCCTTGGTGTTATAGCAATCCAATTTTATTTTTCAACTGAATGCTGTTTTTTTTCCTTCTTATCCGAGGACTTGCCATAGTTTGCAATTCCACTAACCTTCTGTCGAGTCTGAAAATATGTTGCATAAAATTTATCCTCGGTAGATACTACAGAAACATTGCCTGAGGAAACGCTTTGTCATGGGTGAATATTGACAACCTTGGCAACACAGAAAAAGCAATACTGGAGAATCAAAATGATCCATGTTTTAATTTGGAATTGAAGGTTGATACAATGGGAGCAGATATTTTTCTACCACCTCTAACTCTTATTTCTGCGTTACGTTTAGATTTCTGCAACTCTCTCTATTTCACTTTGTTCCACCTTAATGATATTCCATTACAGGAGCTATTTGTAACTTAGGAATAGAGGAAAGGAAGGCCTAGCAAACATCTGAGGCATCAATCATTATGTCAAAATGTATCTTTGTTGTACCTCTACGTACTTTCTTTATTCCCTCTACAATTTTATAGACGCTATTAGTGGTGACGTTGCCATAGAAATTCTCTATTATATCGAATTGGATCCAAACAATAACAATGACAGAACCTCTTTCAATGCTGAATATAAAAAATAAAAAAAAATATATAGAATAAATCGATACATATCATTTATCTGTGACGTGGCACTAATAGCATCTATAATGCTTACACTTCTTCATGGGGAACATTTAAATAAATACTCATATTAAATAAAGACCATAGCCTTGCACGAAAAAATTGCACTTGACTTTGCAGGTCAAAATTTGGCATGCGACTAAGCTATACAGATTCCTTGAAAATGACGTCAAGTTAAGCAGTGGGGAAAAAAAGTGTATGGACATGATTGCCAAAATGTTCAAAAATGAGGCTTCGACCCAATGGTGCGGAAGATGGCAAGTTCCTAGACGATCCCTTAAATGCTCACATGAAAAGTTGTCAAAGAGAAATGAGAAAGTCCTGAAGGTAATGATGAGTTAGATGTACATAATCAGATATTAAAACGTCAGGTTCCACCCTCACCCTCATGTTGACGTTACTGGCTATGCCTAGACTGTCATTTGAGGCTGCAATGAGATATACCGCGCACCCCAACATTGTTCACAGGATTCATTTCCGAATAAATGGGGTGCAAATTATTTACAAGAACTTTATACCTACTTGAGGACTCTCAAATCTTCTCTTCAAGCATAACTTGTGCGTTAGTGCCTCAAGTAAGCAAAACTTATCCTTGATCTTACTTTAAATTTATTCAGGGTGGTTGATAAAAGGGTTCCACATATGTGACAACTCAACATTATTTCACCATCAGTTTCAAGGAAGTTCATTAAGTAGGGAAATCTACAAGCAAAACGGTTTGAAAACATTCACTGCTGACTGTAGAAGGCTTCCGATCACTGTATCAAACTAGTTGATAATATGAGCGCTTGTTTAGTCCATTTTTGGATTAAAATATTAACCATCTGATCTTTTTAAATTTTTGTCTGTGGTTTTTGAACATAGTAATTTAACGTTAGGTATTCTAAAACTAAATTACTGCAATCACTGGTATCCGTTTAAAATGTACAAAAATACTGAAAATATGGTATCATTCACAATACATCACAAATACAGAGGGGCAGAAAGATAGATTATAGGCATTTCCGGATCTTTCGTTCTTCTCTGAGCGCTAGTGCTATATTTCACAGCCCGTTTGGTACCAAAAATAAATAACTAACAACTTAAAAAACGAAAAGATAAGAAATTGCAAACAAGCATTGCTGTTCCATAAGCTAAAGTTGAATTCTGCAAAACAATCCTTTGATTCAAAGTCAGTCTATGATTCTATGTCATTTTACTCTGTGTTGAAAAATGTGATTCAAATGCGCAGAAATCTTGAAAGAGCGAAGTTTGGGAAAGAACATTTTGGAGCGAGTACATTACATGCTAGGGATAAAAAAAACGATAGGTGGACCTTAAAATTACACATTCTATTTGATTTGAGATATCCCAGCTTTCAAAACAAGTAACACTTTCTTCTCCCTTTTCCAAAACTTTTCCCCTTACCTCGGCCTCGTTGCTCTTTCTGCAAACAAATAAAAAGAAATGTTTGAGGACACAATTTTCAAATGGAAAAATGTACCTAAAAGAGAAAAAGCATTCCAGCTGGAGATTTTCAATTCCAAAAGTTAAATTAGTTAGAAAAAAACAATTTTCATAAAATAAAGGGTGTTTTTGTTTTCACATGAAACAATTTCTACGATTCTTTGTGAAAAATTGAGGGCATTTTGATTCCATGTAATGAGTCAGCTGGGTCATCTTATATTCTGCCATTCAAATGTTTTATGTGATTTAAGCTAAGTGTGATTTTTCTAACTTTTTTTGATGACGGCTATGAGGAAAAAAGTTCCTGGGAAAGTGTAAAAAATTAGGGTGGCCGAAAGCAGGGTTTAAAATGTGCACTCATAGCTGTGGAATTAACAAGCACACACATCACAATCAATATGGAGGCAGAATCCATGGTGGAAGAATATATGGTGGCATTGATATGTGTTGTTGATCAGGAGGAGTTCAAAGGTAAGGCCGTGCGATTTTGACAATTTCAGCAGCCAGTATATGTACTTATCAAATTTTTTCAATGGCGCATACACCAAATTCCTTTTTCAGAATGATTTAACTTTATAACAACTCCACAGAGCTAATCTAATCTCCAACAAGATGTCAACAACGATTCAAACGACAGAGGTTCGACCAGCTGTACCATGCTGAATTTTTGGCACTTGAGTTCAAATTTGTAACAGATATTGACAACCGTTAATTTGAAAACATTACTTTAAAAAACTCAGGCTTCCACTGAATTTTATTTTAAAAGGATACGTTTTGGTCTTCAGGTCTGTAGGTAAACATAGCTGCTGTTATTTCTCCATTTATGACTCTTAAATTCTGATTTTGATGGCAGTAACAAATGGAACGGTTTACACCTCTCTCGTCGGCTGAATAGAGATAAAAACTTGTCACATTCTGAAGATCTCACAACACTCCTTTTGTGTATTTATCTGTGTGTGTTGCAGGCAAGTGTTAAAATAGGCATTTTGTCAAATGTCTAAGCAAATAGTCAATTAATTTTCCTCACCATGAAATTCTGATTTTTTTGCTAATTTTAGATAAAAAAGTTATTTCCTCTTCTAGAGAAGAAATTTCTGTAAACATGGTAAATAAATTAGATCTAGTCTTTAAACGAGTTATTATCTTGAGATTTTCAACATATCATAGAATACAGATATTTTAAAGCGTAAACGGTCAAATTATAAGAGAGGCATTTGGAGAGCAAAATACGACTGAAGTTTGTAGATTTGAGAATTCTTACATTCAAAAACATTGAAAACTCAGAGCTCTTTGTCAAAAACATACAAGACTTTGGAAACCATCAAAATTTCACTATCAGCCCAGATATTTGATAAAATGTCTGACTTGATTATTGGCCTGCAAATTATCAAAAGATAAAATGCAGAACTTAATTTACTTGTTGCACCTTTAAATTGTCTTTAGTATTGCTGAAACATGAAATTGCACCTAACTTTTGAGAGAAGATAAAGCATTGACCATTTACTTACATCTTTCCTAATTTCTCTGACCAGTGTGTAAAACGCTTCATCCACACCTTGCCTTGTCTTTGCAGACGTCTCGATGAAGGGGACACCATACTGTTCCGCTACTTTTAAAGCGACTGGAGAATCTACTGCTCGTGTTGGTAAGTCACATTTATTTCCTACCACTGAAAATCAAACAGAGAACTATTAGTCATGCACACAAAAAAATTGGGTTGATGATTAAATTCACTTGATTTTTTCATACTGCATGATTGGAGAGTACCTACTATAAGAATTGAGGCAAAGTAATGGGCCTGCAGCCAACTTTTGCTAGAGCAAAAACAAGACTTGATTCTTACAGAAATGTCTCACAAATCACAATGAGCGCATCGGCAAAGTCTGAAATGCACTCCTAATTTTACAATCTGCATAATAAATTGGCATTTTTAAGCTGGAGCGTCGGCCATGATGACTATTGAGTAGTGTCCTACCGAGCAGGAGTTAGATGGAACGGCTCCTTTGACAAAATGTTCACCTGCGCCATAGTAACGTTTTTGAAGTGGCAAGCTCAAAAAAACGCAAATTTCTTGCGCAGATACTACAGTTAGGAGTGCATTTCAGACTTTGCCGATATGCTCATTGTGATTTTTGAGACATTTTCTATGAGAAACAACTCTTATTTTTGCTCTAGCAAAAGCTTGCAACAGGCCCATTTTCAAAATTCATTTTGACTTGATGTTATCTCAGCAAAAATTACATATCTGACATGTTTAAAAGCCATGGCTGACGCTGACTCATGATCGAATCAAGCTGAATTTTTAGCACTAGGTTGCAACTTTATAACAGATGATAACATCTGTTAATTTGCAAATATTACTTTTAAAAACTTTGGCTTCCACTTAATTTCATTTTAAATGGACACATTTTGGTCCCTTGAAGGCGGCCCTAGCCACTGAAAGGAGTACTTTTAAAATTAAAGTACGTTGAAGTCTGAATTTTTTAAAGTAAAAATTTGTGCACGCCAAACTGGTTGCGAATTCCTTGTTGAGATAATAAACCCACGACAGCTGATCTTTACTCATGACAGAGGAGCTATCATCCTGCAAAGAGGAGAGTAAAAAATAAGTAGTTATTCAGATCTCTCTTCGATCCCTCATTTTTAATTATTCTATCTAAGTGTCTTAATGACAAAATTTACAATGAGCTTTACCTTTCAAACTTACATTTGTTCATAACATTCGCCAAAAAAATCTTTGAAAACAAGACCTGTTCCATGGCAGTTCAGCTGTCAATGATAAATCTGATTTTCACTTTTCTTTTGCAAGTTCAATCGGGATTTTATAAGTTGCTCAATTTATTCCTAAAATTCTTTCGATCTGAACTGAAAATTGAAAATTAAAACCAATACTTCTCTGGTATTCCTTTCAAAATTTCAGGAATTTTTTCTTTTTCATTCTTGAAAGCGTTCATTTTTAAACATTTTCAAGAACTCTTAGAGGATATGAGGCAAAATGCATATTTTGTAGGTGATGTTTTGGAGAGGAAAACTACAGCATGAGTATATAGTAGCAGTTTCTATTCGTCAAAGGGACAACAGCACCAGTCATCATAGGACTATTTCCTGCGGAACTGCTGTATCAGAATGCTATTAAAGAGCTTCTTTGGTTTAGGTACAGACAGCAAACTGTGGAAGGGGAGGGGGGAATGCTTGCGAAAGATAGAGCATCATTGTGAGAGATAGCATTCTCATATTGAAAAGCACATTGCTGCAACTAGCTAACATGATAGAAAGATGGTCAAATTACGATTCTTAATACCATTTTTAGGATAATAGTTTACAATCTTGAATTCATGTTGATCATTTTTGAACTTTTTGGAGAGATAGATATGACACATTTACTGTGTGAGGCTTTGAAAACAATGTTGAAGAGTTGCATGCCATGATGTTTAGGATAGGTACATGTTTCCTCTAGCGCCATGGCAGTTTCTTCCCATCAAAAAACATAAGTTAAGTGATGCTTTTTACCGATGGAACCATGATAGTTGTAAGCCAAAGCATTTACATGTCTGCAGCAATTGTTGGCCTCTTTGGAGCCTAGCATTGCGAGCGATTATATCCATGGGCAAATTTTTGACGGCTCTTATACATGGCAGTGCAACATTCATCGGTGAGTCCAAACCACACTGCCGACGAATCAGTAGCATTCAGCAGGACTTGAGTGCTGTCGAGACTTGTCCTAAGTATATTTAAGTACAGTGGAAGGACTGACAAAATTCAGCCCCAGGTCAAAACAACTGGCATGGCGCTTGGTATAACCAGTGTGGCAGAAATGTGTTAACTGTAAATAATACATTGAGTCGCAAAGTTTTGCCCTCATAATGAGATTTGTTTCCTCTGAGACAAATGAGAAAACTTTGTATACATTTGCTAATATTTGATATTTTTAGGTAATGGATCGAAGGGTTACATCTAGTCTTAGGGTTCAGATTGCTCCACTGTGACGAAAAATTGACCATAAATGTATTTTGGAGATACTCACAAACCATGGGGACTTCTTCCGCATCTTTTACTCTTTTGATTTGTTCCCGGTAATTACTAATATCCTCAAATGACTTGGCATTGTTCACTGCAAAGACGAGTAGAAATCCTTCACCAGTCCTCATGTATTGGTCTCTCATAGCACTAAAATACAGGTCAAAATGTAAAACAAATTAAAGTTGAAGAAAGCAAAAGCAATACCTTTCGCGTCAAGAATTACAACCTTCAGAACTTCAGGAACACATTCCTGAGCAATAATTAAAACTCCTTGTGTTAAACAAGTACTTTGTGAGATCACTACTGAAGGGTTAAAGGGAATTGTGTCTCATTAAAATCCATTCTTGTTACATCCCTTCATAACATATTTGCTGAATATCCATGTTCTTTAGATTTTTGCAATACCTAAATCATCTCTTGAGGAGAAATAAGAGAGGAATGGACTGGCCTTCAAAAGAGAGACATGAATAAAGGTTAATTAGAGTTAAAAAAATTGGTATCCTGACCTATTAAAGGACAATAGATAACACTTGAAATTATAATATAGGTACAAAGAAATAAGTGTTTTCCATTTTTATTATGATCATACATTTAACATTAACTTTACCTGTATTCCTCTTGTCCAGCTGTGTCTAAAATGTCAAGCAGACATGTTTCACCGTCTATGACAACTTGTTTCCTATAAGAGTCCTCTGCAAAAAAAAAAAAAAAAAAAATGAATGAAAAAAATGAACAAACAAATTTCAAATGTAACAGTATTTTTCGTCAAACAAACTTTTTTTTTTTATTGGATGCCTACGTTTGGATGTCACTATAATACTTAATTGAGTCAACAAAGGGTTATTATTCTAACATTAGCTCTAGAATAAAAAAAACCTGCTGGTATCTTGACCATGTATGAAACCCTTCAGGCCACCATACTGCCACTTTTTGGCTAAAGCACCGCAAGCGCGAATTGAGCATCAATCTCTGTCAGACCAATGTAAAATGGAAAAAGTTTATCACTGCTATTGTGAAAAGAACAGAGACTAGAAATTTTGAACACATGTTTAGAATCACTAATCATCTGATTTGGATCAAATTTATGCATTTTCATGCATTTATAGATAAGTTGAAAATGTCAAACAGATGTATTAGACTCAGTATATAGGTTACAAGAAAGCCTTCTGGGAACATCTAGAAAACATGCTTCAGCCACTTTTAAAGCCACTGTAATGAGATACCTATGACCAAGTGAAAAAGTGATGCTTACCAATTGTGGGATCATATTCATCCACAAAACTGAAACAAAGAGATAAAGATTATTGATCTTCATTAGAAGTAAAAAGAATTACAAGTTTTGGCCTAAAACAGTTCATGGTTCATCATAATTTCTTAAACCCAAAATTGAGGACTTTCAACAATTTACAAACGATGTTTACATGCCTTAAAATATGTCTGAAAATCGAGATGTTCCATTATCATGACTAATTTATTTGCTAACTGCATGAGGAGATAAGGACACGGAGACTTACAGATGACATACAAAGATATTCTAGAAGTCTCCTTGCTACTGGCAAATTAAAAAATCTTCTAAATGCAGAAGTAATAAAACTCCTGATAAATTAAAATGAGTGGACTTTCAAGCATATTGATTGAATTTACCAAACATCAAGTATGTTAAAGAAATTGGCGAGGCATCATGAACTCTGAAGTCAAAATTTACTAGGTAAAACTCTTCATGAAAAGGTAGATCCTTAGGGTAGGTGCTGTCAGCATAATTAAAGTTTACAACTGAGCAAAAAATTTCAGGAAATTATTATACACTAGTAATGTTTAGATCTATGCCTGTTCTTCAAAATTATTGAGATGACTCCGCCTGAAATTTGTAAGAACCACCCATCAAAGAATTTTAGAATATTATACCTCTCAACAACTTTGGTTCATAAGACAGAGAGAGAGATAGGGGAACTGAGCGTTTTTCTTTGTCTTTGGGTTGATTATCATCATTCTCATAATACCTGATCGAAAATTGAAAATAATAACTTACTGATTTTGGATTAATTGAATGGTTAAGGCACTTTTACCGACACCACCAGCTGAAAATAACAAAAGGAAAGGAATCAGTTATGTAATAGCCAACATTTTCTCACTTCAAGTGAATGCTGACACAGAAAATCACAGTACTTATCACAAAGATTAAACTAAAGATTGTAGCCTGGGAATCATTTATAAATTACATTATCCTGAAATTTGGAATTCTAACCCCCATCCCCCGGAAAACTGTTGAGAAAACGAGACTTTAGACAGTAAGATCAGAATTTATGTTAGTGCCTACTTTAACTAACATTTTCAAAAATGATTTTTGTGCGACATCACATGCAATGTTCAGCTCCACCCTATCCTGACCGTTCTCAAAAAACTCCCTGTAGAGTATGAAATGATTTTTGAATGACTTGCAAGCCCTAATCTCTTCATTTTCAGCATTGATTAATTCTTCACACAGTAGTTTCTGGTACTTCTAAGTAAGCATCCTGGTATTAAAATGGTTCTTTGAATATGATCAGTATGTTAACTTTTCTGCTTACCTCTCATGCTAATGATCTAACTCACATCTTCACATTTTTTCTAGTTGCTATGCAGTTTGGTATTTCTTGGTCTTTTGAAATACAGAGCACTTGTGGGTACCAAGTCAATTAAACATTGCTCACTAATGCTAAATCTAACTAGAAGAGCAATCGTTTTATTCTCTTCTACGTTTCTGGAGACTCCCCAAATTTTTTTCCGGTTTAATGAAAATAAGGGTTTTAAAAATCCTCAGAGATAATAGAAAACTGATCCATGACGATTTTAAAAGAGCATTGGTTCAGCAGGCACTTCTTGACATGTTGGATGCTATGATTCTCGCAGGTTAGAAAAGGTCAAGGTGAGGGCAACTGCCACATCTCACCAAACTCTCCGTGGAACTGTAGCACTGGATGTTGGAACTGAAGTTAATCTCTCACTAGATCTGAATTAGTGCCTACCCTCGTACGGGCATTGCATGAGTAAAGATGTCATTGTGAATGCTGAGAGACAAGATCTGACTTCTGTTGCAACACTCAATTCAAGACTTTAGAAATACTTCGAAGAAATTGAAGAGAATAACAAGATAAGAAAGGACTAAAGCCGACTAGATCAAGAATCTCTGCATACATTGACAATTCTAAAATTCCTTAGTAGTACTCTTCCTCCTAACCTTTTCATAAACGCTCTCTGATATATCAAGGAAACATTAGTGCTTTTATCCTTCAGTAACCACCACTTGGGTCATTAGACTCCCTAATCAAGATGCAATTTCACAGTTGATAATACAGAAAATTTGGTGGTAATTCTGTGGAGCCAACTAGGGTTAGATTATACAGACTCGCAGTACATAATAGAGCACAATAGTGTATAGAGGAAAATTCCCAGTTTTCCTGGTGAGTAATCATTTCCTCTTTATGAGTTAATAGGTAAAGCAGGCGAAAACTGCCTCATAAACTCTTGATCCTAAATTCTGCCAGAAAATCTTGATTCAGTGTTCTCCGCAACACCTGAGCCGCCAAAGTTCATTCAGATTAATGTGTATTGTGTGTAAATCATAGTCCACATATTTTCTTAAAATCTTCACTTGGACAGTAGAAACTTAAGTGAAACTTCTCTAACCATAAAACGAGAATCTGAATACTTAAGAATGTACTTAATGTTTCAATTACAATGATCAGCCTGCAGCCTGCAGGTAAGGTTGGCTCATAGGCTAATAACAGGGGAACTACTCTTCAGTAATGACTCGAAATTCTGTAGAAAAGATGTGTTAACACATAATACTAAGCTAATAGAAGGGGAGGAGATAAAACATTGGCTAATGAAAGATGCAATGATAATTACTCAATTGAAGTCAGCCTGCTTAGGAGGCTACACAATGGGGTGTTCAGTCTTTGGATTGATAGAATATCAGCTAATTGAGAGAAGGAACTTACCACCGACGACGACAAGTTTGTATTCCGTCATACTGCATAAATATCAGAAATAGCATACATCAAGAGACAGAGGCTTTTTATAAGTAAAATTCGAACACAGTCACGCCCAAGTGTTTACAAGAATCTTGTGTGCGTCAGATACGAATGCCTCGCATACCATACAAGAAAGTTTCAACCGATTCCAAGCACCGATAAAATTATTCCCGATCACTAAGTAACAATATAGTAGTTTGGGAAATAGTTGTAAAACAGTGCTTCAATTGAAGTTGCGGGTTTTTAATGAAGAGACTATTCGGGAAAAACACTTCTCCGAACTGCATGCAACTCAACCGTGACATTTACCAACAAGGGATGTGAACGAAAAAAGTGAAGTACGGAGAAAACAGAGGGAACATCAAGAATGCGTCAGACAGTATTACACGCATCACGCACCTCATTGGTTGATCTCTTCACTCTCATGACTCTCATGTTGACGATTTCTGCCGAGCACCTCAAAACTCAAAGCATAACTGTATAGCGTGTTGTATCATTCTTGATTTTTTTAAATATAAACCAGGTGCATTTCATTCTTCAGCATCAGTAGGTTTTGTATGATTAAATGGACGTATTTCTATCAAACGGAACTATGTGCATTATGGCGTGAGCCCAGTTATGCACCTATTCTTATGGGTCTCAGGGCTCATATCTTAATGCACATAGTTCCGTTTGATAGAAATACGTCCAAATATGGGTTTTACTCGTTTGATTGACTTAGGATTGGATGAATATTTTTATTTTATTTACAAAGCTGTAGACACTGTAGACTAGAGATTCAGCAACTTTGGATTGCAAGCTCTTCGCCGTCTAAGGCTTTAAAAAGTTTCTGGTATCAATTGTCCTTTAGATATTTAAACATTAATAATATCAAAAGTACACGTTATGCCCTTTTTGAGGCAAAAACTGATGGAATGGAAAATGATAAGCTTTCGCGCCACACATTTATATTGCTGAGTACCACCGCTTTCTGTTCTCTCAGCCAATCATTGTGACACAGTTTTATTTTGTAGCCTCTGATTTGTCTGTCAACTTGCCACTAATAAAGAAGGTGGTGAGAGCACCCTAGTGTTTATCCAGAGTTTTGGATATTCTGTTGTAAACATTCTCGTGCTTCGCTTATCGTTCGTTCCGTTATCATATCAAGTGTAATATGGTCAGATAATTTTGCAGTTTAAAATTACAAGTTACATTGGCGAGGATGGTAGAAGTGACCGGTGTTTCAATTTGATCTGCATTACTTATTGTAAGTCGGGATTATTCGCTTTATTGTCTATTTTGAACGTTATTATCCATTCTTTCACCAGGTGTTCTTGCATAACCTATGTTATTGTCTTCTCTTCTGATTGATATTTAACATTTTTTAGGACTGAATTTTTAGAATCAAGCAAAATTATGATTAAATCTACGATGGCTATGTATTCGCTACGAAGAGATTCTTCTGTTATTTGAAATTGCCATCTAAGTCTGTCCTCAATTTGCACAATGTTACCTACTCCTACTCCCACACGATCCAATAAATAACTTGGAGCTGGTGTTGTTATCTCCTCCACTTGCTTGACTTTTTATTCACACCGAAACATTAAGTTTAGTGCATATTCATGCAAGCAAATATCTATATCTGGGTTGACCAATACATTTTAATAAACTTTCAAACATTCACCCTTGGCTTGCTTCACAATGTTTGTTGTTTTTGGTAGATAGATTCCTAACTGGATTTATGCTTTTTTGTGAATGAAATCTAGTTCTGTACGGCTCAAGGATTGATAAATCCAAACCTGAATGAAAGTAGCCTCAGCATGAAAGGACATCTGCACAAATATATAAGGGTAGATTGTCTCGTTTCAAGCTACCTAGGTGGCGCTTGAACTAATTGACGTATATGTTTGCTTACCTATTGACTTTTTTTCCTCTAGAATTTCTGCAAACTCTGGAACTTGATCATGGGCGATCCTCATCCTATGCTCCAAATCAAAGAAAGAATCGTTACAAATCATCTCAGAGTTCCTGTTGATTCTCCTGGAGGTAAGTTTTCTGTAGTTCTCTTTTGTGGAACCATCCGTACTTAGTGATAAAAATTAATTTATTTTCCCGTGATTCATCCAAGCTGCCGTACATTCTCTTATCGTTTAGTCTCTTTATGGAGTATCCAAAATACCAAATGTTTTGATGTTAGAATGACAGTGATGTTTTCATAAACATGGGAAAAACCTAAAATGCAGGGGTGTAGAAAGTTCCAAGCCTTCCCCCAAACTTAATTGATCTTCAAGCTCTCATTTTACCAAAATTCATTATCGGATCTCCCTAGTTACAAAAGTAGCGTTTCTTTCTGTCCCAAAATTTGACTTTTTTTGCAAATTTAGTGCCAAAAACAAGTAAGTATTTTATTGTGAAGGTTATACTGATACTAGTGTACTGGTGCTTTTAATTATGGTAAACTTTGGTCCCTTGGCAAGCGAGAAGTCAGAGAAGTTTAAGTTTACCAATACCAAAATTACTAATTTCTCATTTAAATGACTGAATCCTTCAGAAGCATTTATTGCGTCGCTTAATTACCCACCCCATCTAATATTTCTTTGTAAAAATGCCTCACTCGAGTGTCATAATTGAATTTAAGCCTTACAACTGGAGGAACGCTTTACTGAAGTGCATCATTTTGCATTTACTCAGTTTCATGCCATCGGAGGCAACGAGACGGAACAATGCAACTATCAAATTTTACAGTCCCAATCAATTTGTTCAATTAAACTCAATTTTCAGAACTGCAAAGAGGAAACAAGAGCATCCAGTTATTCTTGAATTATCTTTTATGAAACCTCCTAAGGAATCGGTGAAAGTAAAAGGATGAAAACATTGTAAAAAGGTATACATTGGTATAAAAAGCCCCACAAAGTTGCCTTCTCATATTTTCTGACTTCTGTAGACTCTGTGCTATTGAGATAGCAATTTTACTTAATTGTCTCTGTCTCCTTATTTGTTTATTTACCTACCTACCTGTTAAAATTTCTCCATAATTTATTCCAGAAAAAAATGGATTTTGGAAACCGCCGCCCTCTGGGAAATCTTTGGATCCTAAGATGGATGAACAGCTGAGAATGTCTAAAAGAACTAAACCTGGATCCAGGGTTCGATCTGCATCAACAGGAAGAGATAAGAAATCGGGTAATTTTTACCTTTTCTTTTTAAATTCTTTTGTCAGACCAGTTTTTAATATAATAAAAATATTCACATTTGAAATTTGAAATTAAACTGCGTTGAAATAAAATTAACATATCACTATTAAGGCCAACCCTAGCAAATTGACATTAACTGTTTTCAAGCTATTAAGGCCAACCCTAGCAAATTGACGTTAACTGTTTTCAAGCTGATGTTACCAAATTGTATGCAGCTGCTGGCAGTTTTTAGGTAAGTAGGTTAAAAACGTTTTAACCTCGAATTGGTTTAATGTTTCAACAATGCCTCTCCTTTTTCTTTTTTATTTATTTATTTATTTATTTATTTTTTTTTTATTGCTGTAGGTACGTAAAAGTATGAACAGTTTAGAACTTGATAATGTTTTGAAAATCAAGGAAAGAACTTCACATTATCGTGAAGTAGTCTGAAGGTGGACCTAGAAAAACCATTATCTTTATTGCTGTTTCTCAAAATTTCCACTCAATCTTATTTTGTCAATAGGACATGAAGTACCTGATATTTTTGCATTGTATTTTTGTTAGAAAATACATTTGAAATGAGCTAGAGAAATCATAAAACATTTCGTGCAATGATGAAGATCTTGTTCTTCAAAGAAGTGTATCCATGTTTAGTAATATACAACATCACTGGCAGATAAATTTGTATTTCTAGTTTTACCACAAATTCCTTGTCAGTTCGCTGCATCATTGCTAGAAATAGTCAAAAATTGGTAGCATTCTATCTTTTGACAAAAAATGAAGATTTTTTACTTAAATTGCTTTTCTTCTTTTTTTCTTTTCAGAGCTGCAAGCTCGATATTGGGCTTTCTTATTTGGAAATTTGCAGCGAGCTGTAGATGAAATCTATCAAACCTGTGAAAGTGACGAAAGCATCTCAGAATGCAAGGTAAGAATTGGTGACTTTCTCATGGATGATTTCTCAATATTCTCAAGTATCTTCGTGCAATGTTGAAAGCTTTGTAAAGTGAGATCAAACTCACTAAATATGGACTGAAAGTGCCAAGCCAGGGGTGCAGAAAATGTCCAATCCTCAAATTAAGGCAAACTTGAGGCTAATTTTCGGCCTTGATGCAATATTCAAAAGTTAAAGTGCTGATTCTCTGCTCTATACTAATTTTTTCAATTTTTTGTATCAGAAAAATTCGGAAGTTTCTCCAAAAAATTCCAAATAGTTTGGAAGGAAAATATTCTGTGCATCTCTTTGGTCAACAAGTTTAACAATAGACCTTCTATGCCCACTATCACATTTTTGTCATTGGCTTTTTCCTCTAAAATCACAGAGGAGATCTGAGTATTTTTCACTGAAAATCTTACGATTGCAATCCCTACAATTTCAGGAAGTTATTCTAGTTTTAGAAAATTTCACCCGTGAGTTCCATAGCTTAGTGGAATGGTTCAAGCTGAAATGGGAATATGAAAACACTGCGCCACCCCAAAGACCTACTTCGCTGGCATGGGAAGTTCGGAAATCATCACCCAGGAAGGTAAAATATGTAGATCTCAATCCATTAAGCATTCTATTTCAGCAAAGTGCATTATAGACTTGTTTGCTAAATGTATTATCTTGAAGAATCGATAATATTTGACAAAATTATATCATAAAACTTGGAGAAACACCTCTTATTTTTGGAATTAAGATTTCTTGGCGTCAGAAATATGTATTATTATTTTTTTATTTTTAATTTTTTTTCATTGACAGTACTTATCAGAATAAGTCACTAAAATTAAGTAGTCAAACATGCGGCAGAGATGGACCTCTGGCGTAGATCTGCTGGTATTTCCAAAGAGGATCGTGTCAGGAATGAAATGGTACGGGAGATCATGGATGCCAAACATACCATTGTGCATGCCATAATGACGAAATAACTTATTTGGCATGATCATGCTCAGAGAATGGTGGGAAACAGGTTGCTGAAGGAGATCCTTGACTTGGCTCCTCCTGGGAGAAGGCGCAGAGGGCGCCCAATGAGACTATGGAGGGATGGGATTGAAGCAGAAATGTTAAGGTGCTCAACGCTCAAAGGTTTATGGTTCGACAGAGGGCAGTGGAAGTTAGGTGTCGTAGAGCGCCAGGGAGTGCTATATAGCGACTTTTATGTATGTAGATGCCTTAGATTACTTACCTTAGGTCCTCTAGGTTAATTGTGGTGCCGGTCTCGAATTTTTACAGCATCTTGTGTGAGTTTTTCTGCTGCAGAGAAATATTGGCAGGTTTTTCTGCGGTCATATGTAGTAATAGAGGTCAGTCTAACAGATCTTGGTGGTTCATAAACCTTATGTGGTAAAATTTAATAATGGGCCGTTCATAAGATACGTAACAAGAAATTTCGGATTTTCCGACCCCCCTCCCCTGGTAATGCTTTGGTGATGTAAGTCCTAATCCATCAACCTGTAAAAACACCATAAAATAATGCTCACCTGCATTCTCCTCTTCCTCAGAACGTTAAGTGTTTTAAGAAAGTCTCTCAATAAGAGAAAGGTCAGCTGCATTGTTTTTAAACAGAATAGTCATTCTATGGAAGTTCTCAGCTGTTAGCTGTATCATACATGTTTGAGTATTTTGAAGCACCTATCAATTTCAAAAGTTTGTCTGATGAATGCCTATGTTTAGTTTCAGGTTCCAAAAATGCTACCAGGAATGAGTAACAGCTTTATAAAGAAAAAACTCAGTTTCAATTCAAGTGGACTGCTGAAGACCATCCATCCTAATGACACAATTTTAGAATCTCATGGTCTCAAATTTGGAGATGTCGACCCAGAAAATTGTCTCAGCAAAGTCAGTGATGTAGTCAGTGAGAACTCATTAAAAAGATCTGAAGATCAAAAGTCACCAACTCCCTTGACTGGAAGCAATGATAGCGTTAATGATAAGGGCTTCAAAAGCTCCCTAGAATGCGATCAGGCTGAAAACAAAATTTCAAGCAAAGTTATGAAAAAAACAGATGACAGTTCACCATTAGAACTATCCTGTATTCAAGAGGTATTAGAAACCAACAATTCTACTGATTCTGTTAAAGATGCTAAGCCGTTAAAGTCGCCCACAGTCAAGAAGGTAATCCCTAGCTTTTCTGTCAAAAATGCATCCACTGCTAGTAAAATAACTGCCACCGCCAAGAAACCCTTGGCAGCTGTTAAAAGTAATCCAACTGTAATTCCAGGCCGCAATGTTGCTGCTGCTGCCTTTGTACCTAAGAAAACTATTGCTCTCTCTAATCAGACTGTAAATAATTGCACGAAACCCACCACTAATGCAACAAAAATTTCTCCCAGCTACTCTAACCCGAAAGCACTTCCAGTTGCACAAAGAACTTTCACTTCTAGCAAAAGTTTAACAGTTCCTAATTTAAGCACTAAGGCTTCTTCCTCGACTACAAGTTCAAAAACTGAGAGTGTTACGACTGGTGGGCAAAAGAGTCTCAAGACAACAACATCCTCAAGTTCCCAAAAAACAGAAGTTGAGTCTGGTACTAAAGTAAATGAGCTAGAGAAAGAATCTGCAAGCCCAGTCAAAGCATCATTAAATGTTGAGACCAAATCACAGGTAGTTTTAAAAGATGCTAAAAAACCAGCACCAGATGTGAAAATCTTAGTGAAGGATAATGCTGCAGGAACACAGCCTATTGCACAACAGAAAGACACCAAAAAGATGACTGATGTTCAGATTCAAACAGACGAGAAGTCTGTTCTAGCTACAAAACCAAAATTGGTAGAAAAAACTGAAGATCCTACCAAAGTCTCAAGGGCAGCTATAAAATTAGGTGAAGAAGCAATTTCCAAACCTGTCAGTCGTCCTGAGGAAATACCTCAGGAGAACTCTAAAAGCTGCCCTAGTCCTAAAGTTGAAGTGAATCCTTCAGTGGATAGCAGCAAAAAGCACCCTGCTAATAGCAGTCCTGATCCCACCTACACGAGTAAAGTTAATACTCCAAAAATTCTAAGTCAAGGAAAGGAATCTCTCAAAACAGTCTCAAATCCTCCTGCCAAGAGTGTAAGCACAAAACCAGCCTACTCAAGCCTGGTGCGGAGCCGAACATCTGTGGAAATCCGTCCATCCAAACATGTATTAAGTCACAGGAACTCAATTCCTAGTAACACCTCTAATAAACAGGTATGCATGTGTCAGTTTCTTTACTAATGTCTTTTTGCTCCAAATCTATTTTTACTTATACCAAAATTTAGCGCATGGGGCTGGGTTGTAAACCACTAGAAATTAGAAAAAAAAAATTATTTTATTCATTATTCATCAAAAGTATTAATTTTTTAGACTTTTGAATGTTTGCTGCATCTATTATTAATCACTTTGAAATTTTAAGTTTTCATGATTTCTTGTTCTGTCCAAATTGGCCATTGAGTCTCATAAATCTCATACCTACATCTACTTCCATAAAATGAAATCTCAAAAGCCCCTTTCACACAATCATTCAGATTTTCAATCGTAAACTTGCTATAGGTTTTTGGTGATATCAAACTATCAGTCTAATTTTTCTTCTCATTTGCCACTTCTCTGAAAGAAAGGCTCAAAATTAAGGGGTGGGGAAAACTCGGCACCAGTACTTTACACATTGAATTACAGTTTTTGATCGGAGCACTGCTATTTCATATGTAGATAATACCTAATGTATAGGCATTGATCTCAGGCATGAAGAAAACAAAGACCACAATTTAAAGGAAGGCCTTAAAACAAACAAACAAAAAATACTCTTCTCAAGATTTGCTTTCTAGTTGTTCCAAAAATTTTCCTTTTCAGATTATCTCACCCCTAGACAAAGCATTAGGTCGCAACTTCTTGAAACAATCGAAGAATATTGATATAAAAAGCTGCTACAAATCGGAAGCAGTTCCGAAAAAAACACCCTCCAACGCTCAGAAGTCTCCGAAACTTAGAAAAACTCCAGAAAAGGATCCAGGTAAATTTAAGTTGGGTCACATTTGTTTCTTTTTGTGAATTTCAATCGATGTAAAACAGTAGGTTACTGACCAATAAATTATAAGATAGATCTTAACACCTTGACTGCGTACCATTATTAGCCAACTCCTGTCTGAAGCAGCAGTTTTAAATGATTGTTTTTAGGTCATGTTCAATTTTTTTTAATTGTACCACTGCTCTCAAGAACAGAGAAACAAGTTTTCTTACTACTCAATTGGCATCTAGCATTGGCCCAGCACAGTGCCAGGCCATGTTTGGCAATGCCACAACCAAACTGCTAAGAAAAGCAATTTTTCATAAGGGTTAAAGATTTTTCTCTGATAAACGTTTCCAGGAATGTACTATTTATCCTATTGATACCGTAGTACATGCATAAGAATTTCTTTTTATGGTCTTTTAATTTTGCAAACATACACATTGCTAATTGATCAGTGTCTTTTACAGATGGCTGGGAAACAGTTGTTGGACGATCAAGGCGGAGCAATCCATTGACACAAAGTTCTAGCAGTCTCAAATTAAGGAACAGTGTCACAAATTGTGAACCCAGTAACCGATACTATTTGCCAAGCCCTGCAACATCCTTACCTGCACTGGCGCTAAGTATGGAGAAAGAGTCGAAAGACGTTGAAAAGAATAACAAACAGCAGAAAAACAAAGAAAATTGGGAAATAGCCAAGATGAATCAAAGGAATAAGTTGAAAAGTGTGAAAAACGCAGAGATGGAAAAGGATAGACCAATTATGAGTCATCTTGGAGCAGCACGCCAAAGTGCTGTGAAAACTAAGCAAAAGGATTTGAAAGTTCAAGATGGAAAGAAGAAAGATGGTGAAAGTGAAAAGAGGAAAGTCTTGAGCAAGGAAAATGAAAAGAGTAAGGGGGGAAAAAGAATAATAGACCATTCAAAGACGGAATTGTTGGAAGATGAATTATTGGACAAGGAAGAAATTCGGAAAAGTAAAGAGCTTGATGAAGAAGAGAAAAATCTACAGAAGGAGATCCAGGTAACTTATTTAATAATGTTTGTATGTTCCTTCCTTTCTTTTTCTTTTTGAATTGAGGTTCCAAGCTGAGGTATGTTCTTTTTTATTGGACTTACACCATTAAAAAAGATACAAACCACTCAATTCTTTAACTGCTAAGTTGGAAATACATATCAATTTAGATTGCCAGAGAAAAATTATCTGCTGCAATTGTGGTAAGTTTTTGATTTTAATCTATTCTTTTCACGGTAGGTATACGGATATTAGACAACCTATTTACTCATTGTAAAACTTTAAAAATACTTTCGAATTGAAGAATCATCATCAGTTTTTTAAGTGACAAATACAAAAATTGATGGATTTGTGGAAGGAGTATCTTGCAATCTGTGAAATACAAAAATTGTGAAACACAAGGAGCAATTTGAGGAAATTTAAATGAAGTGATGTCTTTTTAAAAAACTTGGGAAATGCCAGTTTTAGGAATTTCAAAAGATGCAGAGAATTTGACAATGATAAGGCTTTCGGCAAATTCTGATGTGAGGAAAAAGTGCTGGCTCGTGAGTTTTTTTGAATTTCCTGGAATACTCTTGTTCCGTATCCCACACATCAATTCTTATCAGCAGTGTTACTTCAGATTAACCTTGTTTAATTTAGATTTAGATTAGATCAGATGGCTTATTTGATGCATCTTTCTTCTTAAGGTTCTGGAATCAACAGAAATAGAGATTGACACCGAAACGGATGAAGTTGAAACTGATTGGGAAAGTAGCAGTGAACTTGCCAAAGACGATGCAGATCTTCTAACCGATAAGGATCTCTTGGATGAAAGGTATTTTACCCTTTAATACAAATTAAACAATGAGGAAGAGAGATTCCACTACAATCATTTCCTTTGTTTTAGTATTTTGATGACCAAAGTGCGAAACGACGTTTCTCTTTTGCAATGCTTCAAAATTTACACTCTTGATTAATTTTTATGAAGAGAATCAAGCTTTACAGCTTGAAATGTATGCAGAATATTCTTTCAACAGAGAAGAAAAATCAAGGAAGTTTTCAAGAAATTACTTTGACTAGTTTCCAAAGAAAAAGTAAAGTATTGTAGGAAGTCTGCAATGTCTTAAACGGAGATATGTGGTTTTGCACTTTTACCGTTGATTTTTTTCCCTCAACTCAGTAGAATAGTTACATTAATTTCTAAATTCCCAAATAGAATCGGCCTCCTGCATGCTGAAGGGCAGAGAACCTGTATCAAGTCATGCAATTTTAAGCTGAACCGCTGAATTTTTTTTTTTTTTTTTGAGATTTTTCGTGTTTTTTCTTCATTTTTTCTGTTGATGTTCAAGGCCTCTCAATTTTAGTTTAATTCTGCTATTTTGCAGTAGCTAATAGACTCTATTGGCTACATGATACAATGACCACTGGAGGATGTTTAATCATAAACAGCATATTACATGAATCCACATTAAAATATCCTATAGGTAATGTTTTGCGCAATGAGATCTTCCGTAATCATTGCCTAAGCGAGGCACTAATGAAGTTCCTCATTATCGACGGAGGGCACGTTCTTAAATTACGTAATGCTCTTCAGGAAGAAGGGGCAATGAGCCTGCGTTACGCTGAGTTTCGAGGCAGAGGGAGTAGTAGTATCCTTCTCTATTCTTAAAAAAAGTACCAAATCTTATGAAAGTTTGCACAATCTTCCTTTGACTTGATTTTTAGTCGTGCGGCGAAGCCGTATAGACTCTAGGTTTCGCCGGAGGCTAAAAAGTGTCCACACTTTTAGGCTAAGTCCAAGAGGAGAATTTTCGAGGAACCAAGTAACATATGAGGTATTGATATCGGTGCATTTTGGCCCAATGGAGATGTTACATGTGCGAGGAATTTGCAATTTGACTGTTGATTCTTGTATAAAAGTT